TTCTCAGCATGGATTTCTGAGCTGTACCCCACCTTTTCTTTTTTTTTCTCCTTGCTAGACTTTGTTTCACTGCTAAAATGAAATATTGAAATGCAGTGAAGAGATCAAACCCATTAAAATATTCTCAGCTTGATACACTGCACGGTGGGGTAAGCAAAGTGGCTGGTAACAAATTGGGTATTTGCTTAAAAGACTGCTGAAATGTATTTTTTTTTTTATTTAATTTTACAAAATAAGCACTGGAGGATTCAAAACCAGAAAAAATCTGGAATGCTGAAACCACCTGTAAAGTATGTATATGTTTAAACTGCATAACCTGGAGAACCAAAACTAAGAACAAAACAGTAAAAAGAGTTCTGTTTGTCACTTGAGAAAGTAAAAAGTGTTTTTCAGTGAAAGGTGTTATGTTTGATTTTTCTCTGGAAAGAGATGCCCATAGCCTATTCCAAGCTGTGCTTTCCCCATCCTTTTTTCACCACCTTCTTTGTTGGTATGATTAAACAAGATGCTGCCACTGATTCTGTCCCTGGAACAGTTCTGTAAAAGCCCAGGAAGTACTCTAACATCAACTCCTGCTGACTTTTAGCTGTTATGAGCTCAAATGGTAGCAGAATTATTTAATACATTGAGTGCTGCTTGTCCCCAGAAGATGACTCTGGTTAGCACAGTGCTCAGAAATCACTTGCAATGGTTAGAAGTGCCATGACTAAGCCATACTAGTAACATCGTCATTAGCTACATATAATTTGGAGTGGAACAAAACTGTCAACTGTAGTTGGAGAATTCCAAGATTAATGTTGCTTTAATAATTTAGGAAAAATATCACTAAGGAGACAGTCACTAAAATTTGCAGGCTGCACATTTAGCAAAAGGAGGAGCAGACTGTTGTACTATGATAGGTTTGGACCCAGCAGACTATCAAAGCTCCAGGCTGCCAACCCTCTGGCAGCCAGTGACAACCCGCTTCCAAATGACTGTCAAGTTCCTGGGCTCCTTTTGACTAAATCCTACAGCTTCCTCTCTTTTAGGACACTGCAGATTTGGTAAAACACATCTGGCAAAGCACTCAAATTCTCTCTGTAAAATAACCCCCCAAACTCCCTAAATAAACCTTCCTTTTACTGGCCCTTGACAGGATTGGTTTTTTTAAAGCACATTATTATTATCATTGATGCGTTATTTTCAACACACACGTATACACTCATATGTACACGCAGCGCAACGTGAAAACACTGGGCAGCCGATATGAAAAGGACAGAATTTGGCATTTTTTTTTTTAATCATAAAAAGTTAACTCAACTACTGTTTCATAACTCATTGCTTAACGCAGTATGCTCTTTTCCTTAAGAACAGGAACATCTACTTCCATCGAGTGGCTATACTGCCTCACTTTGCCTCGTCTTCCCTCCCCTTCCCTACTGTAGGGCATGTGGGTGCATGTAAAAAGGCACTAGCGCGGTTTTTGTGGTTTGAGCCTAGCCATTTCAGGCAGAGTTAAGCCCCTGACCCTTAGAGCTGGGAGACAGAAGTTGGCCATAACCTACACCGAACTCTGAAGTTCAAGACTGTAAGCCCTGACAGCCAGCAGCAATACGGTGAACAGAAGAGTTTAACAGGTATTTTCCCCTCATAGAAAATATAACAGAAAGACTGGGAGGTGGGGTGGGTGAAGAAAAGCAAGCAGCAAATCTCCAAGCGGGGAAATAAAACTGACCAAATAGGTGAAAACAGAAAAGCTCATTTCTAATGTACATTTTATTTGAGTTTTTACATATTCTCTCCCTTTTCTGTACTGAAAAAGGCAGAATAATAAATCTACTTCATTACTGGGTATTCTGTCAGCATTGGTTTTCTTTAGCACTACTTAAAAGTGGTTTAAAGAAGCACCATCATGTCTTTCCTGCTAGTCCTCCTAACTGAGGACTCTTTCAGCTAAACTATACTGCATTTTAATTAGGTTTATAGTTTCACTTTGCTTTTAAAAAGGTGCTTGGAAGAATATTTTCATTTAGTTTCAATCAAGAGGGAACAAAGTGATAGGTTTCCATTCACACACTTCTCCATGCAACTGCACGTATCTGCATGAGTAACAAAGCACTATAAATGATAACCCTTCTTCTCCCACAACTTAAGATTACAATGAATTTCTGTTGCTGATATTGAGAAGTTTTCTTAATGTATTTCATAGTCTTTAAAATTCTTGTTCCCCCCTTGACAGTAATGTTTGGAGATTTTTTCTTTTTTTCTTTTTCTTTTTATTTTTTTTTTTTAGCATTTTTATTTTAAAGTAAAAACTTTCAAACATTTTGAAGATTCAGGAACTTGTAAAAGTTTATCAACAAGAAACAGCCATCTATCTAGGATAAGATAAGGTTAAATAAACCATCTTCAAAAAACTGGCTTCCTACCCTAGAATTCCTGAGAATGCTTGCAAATTTAAAGCAGGAAAATAAAATGTTAAAATAAAAACAAAAACACTGTTAAATGCTCCCAGAGTTAGTCTTCATCTAAAATATATATATGCACTTTTTGGTCTTTTTTTTTTTTTTTTGTACGTTTTAATTTTTTTCCCTTTAAGCTTACAATGGAAGAACAATTTAGCTTTTCTTTTTAAATATTTCAAATCCCTCATTATGTCTTGTAAACAAGAGGGGCTCTAGCACCCGGCTTTCACCGTAGTATCGCAATGAACTCAACTAGCCCAAAGTGCAGGAAAAGGGACCTTAGGGTAGGTTGGGAGAGAGAAGTGAGGGTGGAACACAGCAATGAACCAGCATGTATATAGCAAATCATGTGACAGAATGGATACTGGCTTACTCAGGCCAAAGGTGCTTTGCTAGGAAGTACTGCTGGCACAGGACTTTTAAGAACCTGTTCTGCATGTCTAAGCACGGCTGGTCTTTGAGCAGAGACTAGCAGGAACAAAGTCGTATGGATGTGTGCACGCGAGGGGCACTAGCTAGCAGGAGCTGGAAGAGAGCATTTTGTTTCTTTGTGAATGGTGGGGTGGATGAAGGAGGAGACATGATAGAAAAGTATATTCAGAAGGGCCAGAGTATGCTGCACACTCCAGTTTACTAAGCAAATACAAACCTACTTGCACTTTTTGTCATGTAACACTTTGCATACAAATCTACAGGCATGTGTATATGCAGCATTTCCCTCAGTCTTCCTTGTGACATTGGGTTTACATAGAAAGGGCGAAGTAAAAAAAACCACCTAACTCCCTAGCCCTTCCCTCCCGCCCCCTGCACAGGCATATACACACACACGCACACACACATACCCCCCCTTTCTACATTACTTGAATCTGCTTTTGCTTCTTCCCACCCAACCTATGCTTAAGAGTTAAATGTATTAGACATTGTCATATCCTTCAATGAAAATGCTGAAGAAAGACTCCCCTATCCTCCCCGCCCCCCCCAGGTAATAAAGCCCGCGCACCGCTACTGCTGAGGGCTGGAATGGACACGTATATGCTGGTACAGAATGTCGGCACTTTGTTAGACAGTATAACAGCTAGACAACACCACATGGAAGTCCTAGCACTTACAGAAAAGTACCGGCATCTCTCTTCCCTCTTCTCCCAGGCCCACTCCCTTCCCCACCCCCCCGAAAGACCTCTCATTTTATACCAAGGGATGTTCCTTCAAGTCTGCTACAACTCTTTTTCACAACAGGTCTGAAAAGTTTTGTTCCCAGCGCACACATGCATGCACACACTGGCTATCACTGTGGATTACAGGTCACCCCTATCCTGCCCAGAGTACTACTATACTGATGCTAAAAAAACCCCAAACCTTTCCTTAAATACAGAAATTAAAAAGCAACAGTACAGAAAAAGTAAAAACAAAAAACAAAAAGGTGCAATACTTCTCAAAGGAAAAAAAAAAAAAAAGTCTTTGCTAGTTATATACCTCCCTAAGCAAAACCACATACACAGGAAAAAACACAACACAGAGAAACAAAAGGAAACCTTTGAAGTACACACTGGTTTAAGAACATTCATAAGTAAACGTTTCTGTCAGTGATGGTCTGGCGCTGTAATACACCAAGGCCTGGCACAGGTAACGCTCACCATGAAGGACGCAGAAAGGAGTTAGCTGCATGTGCTTTCAGGAGATGAGGCAGGCCGGCCAGCGATTTGCTGACACCATTTGGTTTTTGTCAGTTTTAACACAAGCAATCAATCAAATCAAAGGCTAATTTGGTTGGGCTGGACTTTCAAGCTTTTGATGGAGTCTTCGAGAATGAGTATGGGTGCCTGTACAGGTTTCGGGGAGAAAAGAAACACTGTTGTTTTTTTTAAAGGTACTGAAGCTCTTGAGAGACTGAATAAGAGCATTTGACTTAGCTGCACAAAAAATGGCAATGTCTTACTCCTCTTTCCCCCTCGTTGGAAGAAAATAAATGGCTTGCATTATATAACAAACATTCTAGGGTTCACTCAGTACAAAAACCCCACATGCAGACATAAATAAATAAATACATTGCTACTCAAAAGACAACATTAGCTCCCCTCTCACCAAATCCTTTGGATATGGCAGTGTTCTGCTCTACCACAGGGTTAGAACAAGGGCCAGGAAGCAACTACCCACTCAATATGATCTGCAGATTTGAGATAGCACCCTGCTAAAATGAATCTAAAAAAACTTACTGACAAATTTTAATCCAGCCCAACTGGATTCTGCTTCAGCCACAGGGACTCCACCATGCCCGTCTTGTTTTCAGAATCAAGACATGCAGATGGCCAGCCAGCCCGTAGACCATCAGCAATGCAGCGTTTCAAGATTATATATAGAGAGAAAAAAAATGCACACACACTCACATGTGCACACACACTCACACAGAAACAAGCACACGTGGGCAGTTACATGTGCCAGAACACACTGGTATTTATCAACCAGCCAATCACAAAGTGTTGGTTTTTTTGTTTTGTTGGGATTTTTTTCTGTTTTGTTCTTTTTTTTTTTTTTTGGTGTGTTTTTTACTTTTTAAGTTTTTTTAATTTTTTTTGTTTTGTTTTTAAAGTGAGGCTCCGTCAAGTCTTCCCCTCCCCCCCACCCCATTTTGCTTTTGAAACCCTCCCTTACCCCAACCCAATATGGTAGACCTAAGGACGGAAACACACCCAGTGCAAACAAAGTTAAAAAGCTATTTTTTCAGTATATATGTTTCTTAGCAACAACTTCCGTATAACATGAAAAAGTGAAAAACTAGAAACTAATTTTTTTAATTTTTTGTGTTTAAATTTAAATGGTATGTGTACTTGCTTCACATTGTCTTTCTAAGTTGGCGTTCATGATTCAAGTATTTCAAGAGTGATATGTTCTCTTTTTGGATTCATATTCCAAACGAAAAAACTGAAGTTATATAAGGGAGGCAACTATGTGCTCAGACAGTCTGTCAATGACCCACCTTTTTTTTTTTTTCTCTCTCCGTTTTCTTTTTTCCTTTTATAAATGTATTTATTGCAAGTTGAAAAAAACGAAAAGGTCAAGTTAGTGCTGCTGCTGTTCCAAAAAAGGTCACGAGGTCAGAGTTGAAAGTTCTAAGTTCAGATTGAATCCGACCCTCCTCCCAGAAGGTCTCCAGGTAGTAAGGGAGCAGGGCTGCCCATTCTGTGTGGATCCTCTACGCTTGGGACCCCCCACAAGCTTGAAGAATAGTTTGGGGGCCCCCACAACGAAGCACCAGTGAGATCACTCCCACTGCTGCTGCTGCCGCCACCACTGCTCCACTGCCCAAGCCCTGTTGACCCACCAAAGAGATTCAAAGCAGGTCCAACTGGATCTGTCTGGTTCTGTCCTGTCTCCAGGGATTGCCAGCCTGCTGTGGGTGCACTTGGGGTTGCTGCAGGTGTAGGGGGCTGAGCTTGTGCCAGAAAGCGACTAACCTCTTCATCTGTGGCAAACTCAGCCAGGATGGTAGTGTTTCCCAACACACACCTAGAAGACAAGATACATGGAATTAAAGAATACTAATTAGAGCCAGAAGGTAAGGGCAAGGGATTCAGAAGGCATGAAAACCAACACTGTTAATGAAAGGAGGTATAAGCTCGCCACAAAGCAGCAAACACAGAACACTTTAGCTGTTCTCAACAGTGAAACTGACTTGGAACACAGAACTTCCATTTTAAAAGGGGAAAAAAACCCACCCAAAACAAACCAACCAACCCCCTCCCTCAAAATTTAGCTAATATGCCTGCAACAAAACCTTTCTAAATTTAAACTAAGGTCCTGAACATTAACACCAAGAGCAAAAAAGTGCCTGTATAGTGTAGCTAAAATGGTAAATGCACATACACCACCTTTCTAATAAAACAGAGGAAGAACAGGTTAAAAGCCTGTGGAGTTTGGGGTAAAATTAGTATAGCTCAGAAGTTTTCACTGAGTTTAACTGATACCACCCCCCCACCCCCCCCCAAGATTTTTGTCTCAAAACCACTCTCATTTTCAAAACATACCAGAGCCACGCTCAGCTCCAAAAAACTTATGAACATAAAACTTAAGATCTGCAGCTTTTAAAGTCAGCTATTTCAGGTCTATCCCAAAACTATAGGAGATTCCCACACACCTGGGTTATGCATATAAGAATGAGTTTCATCTGAAACAGTTCACAAGCTTTTTTTAAATGGCCAAAATTCTATACAGTAACGTGCATACTGGTCACAGTTCTATCCTATTTGCACCTTCTTAGTTCTGTACGTGCCAATTTGTGTCAGCAGTTAAAGCTACACAGACAGAAGGCACCTTTGTTTCTCTTCTTCCTCTGCCAATGAATGAGAGATTCTCTTCCAACCATGATACTTGAAATGAGTTTCCACAGCATAAACACTGGACAGACATTTCGTGTTTAGGACTAACGCAGTAACAAAGAACAGACACAGGGATTGCTTACATGTGCAGTGCAGTCTGGGCCTTGGCCGCCTCCTGTTTGGTATTATATCGGATAAGGGCGGTGCCCTGGGTCAGGTTCAGATGGAATGTCAGCAGTGGGCCATGCTGCATGCAGATCGTCCTCAAGGTTGACCCATCGATCTGAGGAAGAACAGTCAGGATAAAACAGATGTTTCTAACTATTTCCCCAAAGGTACTTCAGTCGTAACTTTGTCTTGGTAACTGAAAGATAAACTGCTCTCAGAAAGGAAAGCAGATGAAAGCAGTGGGAAGTAAACAAAGGTGACGGAATGTAACTCTCAAACAGAATCAGTATACCCTGACTTCTCACAATTACAATGACTTTGCTTTATGGAATAATCTGACTTTATCTTTCCCGCTCACTTGTAGTCCAGTTTTCTACACCTCACTGAGTTTCTCACATTGTCACTGTCCTTATGGTGGCAGGTTTACCGGTATTTATATATAACTTGTACTTCTCACTATCCTCAGCCGTTTAGACCAAACAAACAAGAATGTCTTAAGTTTCCAGCACTCAGATTTCAGTAGAACTGAAATCAATCAGTATTTAAAAGTTCTTTGCAAAACTGAAATACCACCTCTGCAATGAGGGTTTTCAAAAGTTTATTTTGGTGCTTTTTTGTCTTCATGGTTATGAAGACAGTGTCACAGAAACAGTCAGTGATCTTTCTGCCAAACCCAGCAAAGTTCATTTCTCCTGAATTAATGTTTTCACAGCAGTTGTTGCCTACATTCCTTCTGCAGCAGTAACAGCTTGTTACTTACCTCCAGTAACTGCTGTTCTCCAGTGTTCTGTACAGACAGATTCCATTCCTAATATGCCACAGGAACATGCACACATGAATGGGATCCATATGTGCAGATACTTAAGGAAGTGCTACTTTCTTCCTTCTCCTTCCCCACTCCCCTACTATATAATACAACCTCAAATGAGAGGAAAGGAGGTTTAACGGGGGTACAAATATGGTCAAAGTTAAAACAGAGAAACTTGAAATGAAGATACTGTCCCTGAATCCACCTTAACCTTTACGCTTTCTTCTCTCTAATGTACTGACCCACAATGAATAGAGGATTTGTTACAGAAGAGACAATTATAATCTGGTTCTTTCTCTTTTATATTACCTTAAATGCCTCCAAAAATATATTCTTCTTTCATAAATGATTCCTAAAGCAGTATTAAACTACCTTGCACACGGGAGACTTAGAACTGTGCCTCTTCACACCACTCTTGTATCCCTCATGTTTCTCTTGTATGAACGGCGCAGAATGTGCCTTTTTGGGTGATCTGAATGAGACGTTAGCTTTTCTTTTCACATTGACGTTTCCTTAACTGTACTAGAAGCATGGTAAATTATTCTGCTGAACAGGGGACACTGTCTAGACCTCAGGGTGCCGCAGATAATCATACAGGCTTTTCCTAAGCCTTGAATACAGACTAACTGGGATTGCTAACCAGGATTCCACAGAATTTGTTCTGAATGGAAGCAAGCTCCGATAATACTTGCAGGAATAACCTAATGAGACTGTTCTGGCAGGACTGCTGGAAACATTCTGTGGTTTCACTATGGAAACACCAAAGTGAAAACTGGCAGTTACGCCAGCTTTCTTATTGACAACAAACCAAAGAACAGTCTCTTTAACAGCTATAAACCATCCCACATTATGGTCATGCAACTTATCCTCACTTCTAAGAAAAATCTTTCTGTTCCAGTAATCTTTTTGAAACTCTAGGTAATGAAAGGTTCTGTAGCAAAACCTGAACATCTTAAAGATGAAGAGATTACAACAGAAAAAACAATCAGACTGCAGTCCAGTTTAGAAGAAACACATCTTACGTATGCTGAGAAACCCGATTTTGTTAGATTTTATTTAAAGAGAAACAATTGCAGAATCCACAAATCTGTATCTTGGTAAAGCAAACAAGTTCCCAGAGACTACGACAGAAAATACCTGTGGAGTGAGATTGTGAAGAACCAGCCAGTAGCTAGGACGAACTGAGCCACCATCACTCCAAGTAGATGCTGCAAATTAGAAGACAGGATAATCAAGACAGATTTGATACAAAGAAAACCATTTTCCTTTACAGTCAGGTCTTTCAACGTCAGGCAAATTCATAATCAGCATTATCAGCCCTGCTAACACATGAAAGCCTGATCTTCAGTCCTGAAAACCAAACCACATCTTTCCTCACATTTCCCATCAAGATTCACTTTTTACTAGAGTTTATCTTCGAGGAGTTTCCCACCCATGGAAATGATCTATGAAAAGCCCCATGCAGTAGGTATTCCCTCCTGGCAGCTTCCAGCCCTCTTCACTCCTTCGCCTGCAGCAGGACCTGGAATTCCACACACAACCCCCACCCACCATCCAACCCCATTACGGACAGCAAATTTCCATTTCAAGAAGGAACATTTTTTTTCCTTTTACCAGACAACTGCAACTTTCTTTCCTCCAAACCATTAGTGCTGTAAAACGTACACTCCTCAGGTCTGATCAAGGGTGCTATCAGTTGATTCTTCTCACCAGAGCCAAGCCTTGAGTCCTGTGCCCCCCAGCCCCTGACCGATCGGGATGCTGTGCTGTTCCATGGAGATGACGGTTTGGGGTTGGTCAGGCCAGGAGGCGGGCGGGGCAGCCCTGTAGTGTTCCTTGAGGAAATATGGTTTTTCCACATCTTGCTGGAGAGATGAGTGGGATTGTGTCCTATGGGATCTGGGGACCATGTTGATTTGTAATCACTGAATTTTGCTAGAAGATTGAATAAATTGTATGTATTAGAGAAATCTGTGAGATTCAGATAGCCTTTAACTGTACTATTGCTGTAAACCCTTTGGCCACATTTATATCAGAGACAAGCACAAACCACAAAACTATACAACAGTTAATTTACTACACCAAAAAGTACCATGCTACCTGTAAGTTAATCTTTGCTTATTTAATATATGCTGACATTTCAGATAATGTAACTGGTTGCAGTATGTTCAATCATTAGTAAGATGAACAGCAACTTTTATGTCCACACTACATTTCATTTGAAAACCTGAGTATTCTTACAAGTTTGGTCACTACTAACCTTTAATAAAACTGAACGCCCTTCCTGCTTTCACTAGATTCAGTTTGTTTTACAGATGTGAATTCTAAATCCCTAATTCAAAAGACCTGCCTTCTGGCTGTAAAATGCTGGTGCGTAGTTTAACAAGATGAGCAGAAAATGGTATGTGTGCCAGGCACTTGTCTAGTTTCCTCAATTCAACTGTGACTTCAATCATTTTTTCTTTCTTGGGTCTTATATGCTAGACAAAACTTAAGCAGAAGTAAGAAACTGATACATGCCTCTTCTTTCCCCAGGACTATGATTATGTCATTGGAATCCTGCATAAACAGATAGTGCTTCAAACCAAAGTGACCTCACAAACTGGCAGCAGGAACATTGTTTTTCCTCGAGGCTAAATAGGATTTTCAAGATGTTTTGTGAAGATGCTGAGATAACATAAGAATGCAGCTTTTATTGGGTTTGGGCAAATGTAGCAAAGTTTGGGCCAGATGTAGCTCTGAGTTACGTTTGTCACTTCTGCTATTTAGACACATTCCTTTAAGTTGTCAAGACACTGTCTTCAAGAGAAAACTCCTGCATTTGTAAGAAGTTCAAAATCCAAATGGTTTGTCTGGAGCAAGTATTTCCAGCATCTTACTCAGAAGTGTGTGCAGAAACTGTTTATCACAAGAAAGCTTTAGAAACCTTCTTACCAAGGATCTGAGGCAGGTAGCCAATTTTCTATTTACAGGCCAACCTTTAAAAACACTTTCTCTCTCTCTCTCCAGGTTTCAGGGAATGATGAGTGGCTATAAAAGCCGAGGCAATAATCTTTCACAGCACTCCAATATTCTAAAGTTTAAGTGAGTAAAATCACTCACCTAAACTCATACAGCAGCAGGTGTGTTTAAAAACCTACAAACCAAACCCGTACACAGGTCTACAGATTGCGCATGTGGGTTTTTTTCCCTTTCGCATCTGCTGCTCACTTCTTTAACTTGTATAATGGGCTGGTTTTGGCTGGGGTAGAGTTAAATTTCTTCCTAGTAGCTAGTATGGGGCTATGTTTTGGATTTGCGTTGGAAACAGTGTTGATAACACAGGGATATTTTAATTACTGCTGAGCAGTGCTCACAGATTCAAGGCCTTTCCTGCCTCTCAGCCTATCCCACCAGCGAAGAGGCTGGGGGTGCACACGAAGTTGTGAGAAGACACACCTGGGACAGCTGACCCCAACTGACCAAAGGGATATTCCATATCATATGGTGTCATGCTCAGCATATAAAGCTGGGGGAAAAAGGAGGTGGTGGGGGACATTCAGAGTGATGATGTTTGTCTTCCCAAGTAGCTGTTAGGCATGACAGAGCCCTGCTTTCCTGGAGACAGCTGAACATCCGCCTGCCGATGGGAAGTGGTGAATGAATTCCTTGTTTTGCTTTGCTTGAGCATGCAGTTTTTGCTTTACTTATTAAACTGTCTTTATCTCAGCCCATGAGTTTTCCCACTTTTACTCTTCCATTTCTCTCCTCCATCTCACCAGGGGGGAGTTGGCAAGTGGGCTGGAGTTAAACCATGACACATAACTAAGACCTTTTCATCGGGGGTAGGAGGAAGGGTAGAGGATTCTTAGTCTAGCTTTTAAAGCAATTACAACAGAATATTTTATCATCAGGAGGAAAACTATCTGATCAACCACTCAAATTCTGAGTTTCTCAGAAATTACTGAAAGACTAAATATTCAAAGTGAACCAACAGTGAGAAACTAGTGAATAAGTGGAAAATGTCCAGGTAAGTTCTGAAGTCTACATACCTGAAGTGCTATGAACGTTGGTGAAGGAATTGTCAGAGGCACTGTAGGGCCAGGCACCAGGTGAAGGCAGCGAGGTGTTGAGGGAAGAATTAGACCCTATCAAAGGGAAAAGGAGAAAGAAAGAGTAGGCCAATTTCATAGAATTTCTGTAATACTGTTAAACCTCAAGAGAGCCACGATTGTGCCAATGCCAAGCTCTCAATGTGATAACACAGCCACAGCACAAAGGCACACAGAATATTCTCAAATATCAGAATGACTTAAATAATCACACAGCAGTTGTTCACTGCTTTACCTGTGGTGTTGTCCCGCAGAAGTTGGTGGTCAGTATCTACAATGGGAGATGTGGCTGTCCCCCCCAGCACACTTCCAGGGGTCACATAGGGGTCAGATTCAGGGTCAATGTTTTGTATACCTTTCCATGGCACTCCTGGTTGGAACTCTGGAATGGGAGAGGAAAAAGGAATTAGATGCAAAAAGGGAAATGCCACTTACTAGAAGCAATTGTTGAAGATATTTTAGGAAGGTAGATAATTGTCTTCTACACTGTTCCTCAGAAAAAAATATCAAGACATTTCTTAATTAAAATCTCTTTCACATTTCCTCCCACAGCACTAGCTCTGGTGTCTAAATACAAGTCAACACTACAAAAAAGTAGTGCAAGTGCATATGGTAATCCTTTGACTATTCCTGTTTCACTGCATTTAGATGAGGCTTCAATAGTTACACCCTTCCTTAATACACTGTATGTTTTTTTAAGACGTAACATTAGACTATATATTGTAAGATTGTATTCTGCACATATACTTTGTGTGTGTGCAAAAGCTTTTCTCAAGGAAAGGCTACCTACCTTAAAGAGTTTTTAAACAGAATGTACACACATTATATTATTTAACAATATTGAGGTAATGCTAAGGTGAGATGCCTTGTGGTAAAAGCGATGTATATACTCATTGATGTTCTTCATGCTTCACAATGAGATGGTGTATACTTATCATGCTTTAGTTTCCTTTCAACTATAGGTCCAGGCATGCCAGATTTTTAAGACAAGAGGATGAGTCATATGAAATACGAACATACAAAAACTGCAGTTAGAAAGATCAGTAACTTGGTTCCTTCTTTGACTAGATGTTCAGTGAATAAAGTGCTGTGGTCTATATTTGGAAGCAGTGATGGAAAAGTAAAACTGCCAAACACAAAAACAAGTAAAGAAGCTTCAGGTATTATGTGGCAATTTGAGTGTGAAAAGAGTGCCAAGGTGGCAGATGCACCCCTTGCAGATGGAAGTCCAGGATATGGAATGATACCTTTATTCCCAACCTGAAGTTCTGAAATAATTAATGACAAAATATTTGAGTGTAATTAAAAATCCATTATTAAAAGTAGGATCCAGGGTGTGCTCTCTGTAATGAAACCATGTAGGGTGAACCTGGCATGGAAAGGTTCATTTCAGTCACCTTTGTAATGAAGAAACACAGTCAAGACGTGACTTTCACAGAAGAAAATGTGATATTATTTGTTCAAACAACTGTCAAAGCAAGAACAGTATTAGACTGTGATAATGCATTGGCAGGAGAATCTCAGAGAAGACAGAGGAAATGCTCAACTGGGTCTAAAATGTGGTCCATCTAGCCCAGTATTCTGCTAGTAGCAGTGGGAGAGATACCATTTAGGGACAGAAAGCAAACCTGGCTACTACTATCTGTAGGCCACTGCCCTCACACTCTCCCAGCATCTACAGTCCTTCTACCCAGGATGTCAGAAATATCCTCTATCTGTTAGCACCTGCTTGTGAAACTGTTACTCCATTGGCTTATCCAATCATTCTTTCAACTGGCTAGTAACATTTGTCTCCAGAAGCTCTAAAAGCAACACATTCCACAAGTTCACCACTCTTGACAGGAAAAAAGTTGTCAGCTATTTAAAATACATATTCTCTTCTGTCTGGTATTTGCACCATGGTTCTTGTGTTGCAGGATTCATAGAATGACAATTCTGCATTTATCTTTTTCACCACTTTCCTGATTTTGTAAACCTCAATCACATCTCCCAATCTTTAGTAACTCAACAAAATCATCTAGCATAGGAGGCGTCAACATTTCTAACATGATGGGCAATCAGCACTGCATCAAGGAAGGAATCTGCTCAGCTACTGCTGAAATACTGCAACACTCTGACAAACAGAATCACCTTGTGCTTAAGGAACAAGCAATGCAGCTCTTGGGTCTAGTCTGAGATAAAGAATCCATGAACTCAGGTCACAATCTGGAAATTAGAACTCATTTGCAGGAAAAAAAAAGAAAAAAGATCCAAGTCTGGCCTTTGTAATGATTTCTAAGAATTGGTGAGACTGAAAATTAAGTGCATACTAAGTGCCGATCAAAAAGTTAAGGAATATTGAAACAAGGCTCCAAAGGCCAGGCATAGTATATATAAACACATTCACTCTTCAGTATAATCCTGGTTTGGAAAAGAGTTTTCCTTAGAACTTCAGCACACTGACAGATTTCCAAACTATCCTTTGAGACTGACAGTTAGTCTCATGCACATTCAGCAGCTCTCCCTACAGACATGCCCTATTTCTGGGTAGTAAAGAAAACATGAAATGCATTTCTCCACCGGTATTTTAAAGGTTCTCCCAAAAAGTTCAAATATAAGATTGTTAGGAAAACCATGACAGACATATCCAAGCCAGACTGCCTGCAGTCTGCTCTGGAGTGGGAAAATTATGGACTAGTATTACCTAGGTATGCAATTCTGTGTGACATAACCAACGATACAGTCCTCACCAACGCAGCAACACTCACTCTCACCTCCAGCTGTGATGTCAGTTTGACTGAGCACCACTTCATTTATCTTTGTGCTGAACAAAACTGTTCTCTTGAACGGCAGAATTTCTGCAGCACACGGCATTTAGAAGGAAAACGCGAAAGGTGCAGTCAGGGTGAATGCTGAGTGACCACTGTATTCATTCAAAGGAAAATGCACCTATTTCAAGAGGTTCTCTCTTGTAAACTCATTTTTGTTAACAACTTATTTTCCAGCACTAGGAATTAAAATGGTATCTCCACACCAGGAATTGATAGTGGGCCTCATCTACAATCTTACAGAGAAAAAGGACCTGCAGTGTAAAATCATTTTGGATCTTTATGCCTCATCAGAGGTATGGATAATGTGGATCATGATTTCAGCTAAACTTTCCTTCTTGAGGAAGCAAATAAGCTAGAGAGGCTATGAGACAGCTTAAGTGGTTGTGGTTATGGGACAGTTTGTCCCAATAGTCTATGGACCTTTTAAGAGAGGGCTAGCAATAAATGCTTAAAAGCCACATGCCGAACTCCATGATCTGCTACATGACATCTGCACTCACAGTCATGGGCTATTTATACAAGAAATTAAGGATGGTACCAATGATCTTGGTGAGTTTATGTTCAGGATTTGTGAGCTCCAGTTATCCTCTCACAGTGGTGAGGCAGTCAGCACCAGCAAATATTTACTTATCACCGACAGTGGGACTGCAGGTATGACTAAGAAAGCTCTATGGTATCGAAGAAGGGCAAAGAGTAGCTATTCAGTTTCTCACTTCTGTAACAGCCTTCTGCTACCAAGAATCTTTGCCAGAATCAGCAGCTACTCCAAAACCTGTAAAAAGCACAGAGCTGATTTTCACATCCCTCTCCTAACATTCCAAGGAGTACTGTATTTGTCACTATTGTGAGAATGGTGACTGAAAACACAAGTTCAGCAACAATGAGTCTATGAGGGAGGTCCTGAAAAAAAAATAATTTTGGTGGTTTCTGGCATTATGAATACAAATTCCAGATTAAGAACCAGGCTTACCAGAAGTGTTACTGAACAACCAGGCTAATAGACATGTAATGCAAAGACACCTCTACAGAGAGCAGTCAGTGAAATGTTGTGGGTGTGCATGTGTTCTCAAGATAACTAATTCTTCAACTCTGTCAGCTCATCTGAAAACATTTTCTTGACAGAGTTAGACACTGAGAGGTTCCCACATAGAACCATACAATCAACTAGGCTGGAAAAGACTTCAAGCTCATGAAGTCCAACTTTTAACTACTTTTGTAGGTTTCCTGCAGTTAGATCAGTCTCACAGATTCCTAGGCTTTCTGGTGCAAGGTCTGAACTACTGATTTACCCAAGAGATGTACCTGCACCTTTATTTTTTTATATCAGAGGGGATACAAAGCAGAGGGTTTGCAGTCAGTAGTATTTCCTGGAACGTAAGAGTCTTCTAGGCAGAGAAAAATCACAGCATCCGCTATCTGCTGGACAGTACTGGTGATTAATCCATGCAACTTCAAGGACACCACTCTGTGTCTAATGAATGTTTCATATAGAAAATGATGAGTATGTTCAAATACATGAATGCTTTTCCTAGATATTTGAGTTTTCTAGTGGAAAGACAAAATTCTGCCAGTGAAACTCTAGAAGACTTAAAGAATGTGCTATTGCCTATAATCCAAAACTCAAGAAACTTCTACTCAAGCCACAAGATTGCTGAGCCGTACTGAAACATGGGAACGCTTCTTTACATGACATGAGCAGAGGGGAACCACAATAGCACAGCACACACATTGTATGCATATTGTACCAACAATATTGCTGGCAAGGGAAACCTTGTGGCCTGCAATGGACCATATTTGTGAGCAATTGCCAGAAGAAAAGTTCATGCTATGTAAAACACAAAAGGTCAAGAAAATCCAGTTCCCACCATCATGAAAACAAACGTTTGTATCTTTTGCTTTCTGATTTCATGCTCTCAATCAGAATTTTTATACCCTGTGTCACAATACAAGAGGAGGGAACTAGTATTGTGTATTCTATGAACAAGTGTTTTCATGAAAAGTTCTGTGAATGTAATTCACCAAACTACAGAGTTCACCTAACAAAACCCAAATAGTAGTAAGGCAGTCCAGCAGTTAGTTGGTATTTAGACCAGCAACATTTACTTCTAATTTCATGCGGAAGGAAAAAAAAAACCCAAACCAACAAAAAAGACAGGCCAAGCAAATATTTCCCTTGCAGTGGTTATTTAAAAAGCACAATGAGGAAAGATCCCAGCACACCTACTCTGAAGTTAGGACATAACCCCTGCCCTTATGCAGTACCTGGAGGCCAGCTGGCATTGCTGGATTTGCTTCCAATCTTGTTTGTTGGTGGAGATTTGGCAGGTAACCAACTATCACCAGCAGGGCCTGCATGGCCACCCAGTGGGTCACCCGGAATTATGTCGAACTGGTTGTAGGGCGATCCTCCACGAGTCTTTCCGGGGGGCACTATTGCACCTGCAGCATTAAAGAGACACATTTACACTCAGGGAAGGGTGGGTTCTTCACCAGTATGGGATACTAAACAAAAAAATACTTAAGATACAAATTGGTAAGACATTCGCTAACTTGAAGCATAGTTTTATCTGAGCTATTTCACCTCCAGTAAGAGGATACTGCAAGAACATTTCCAAAATAGCCAGTCCCCTTCTCACCATTTTTGTGCATATTGGCATCTTGTGAAGCCACAGAGGGCAGCCCTTCCATCATAGTCCACTGCTTAAAGCGGGATTCTGTTTTTTTCTCCCACCATGCCATAATCCATTCCGCTTGAGCCAAAGCCTGTGAAACAAACAAAACTCCATTGTCATTTGCTCTTTTTGGTTTAAACATCTTTAAACAGGGAGTCATTGTTACCATAAGAAAAGTTAAAAAAAAAAAAAAGGCAACAGTAGCAAATGAAATGTTCAAAAGGCAACTTCCGAATAGCCTGTTAGGTCAATACCCCACACCAAGATATGTTTTGTTACTAGGTTTGTCGCCTTCCCATGTAATGAAAAACAATGCAATTTTTTTCAAGTGTTGACAGTTGTCATAACCTTTGCCCCAATGCTCATACTCATTTCTGGACCTACACATGCAGGTTGAGGGAGATGATTCTACCCCTCCATTCTGCTCTCCTGAGACACCACCTGGAGTACTGCGTCCAGCTCTAGGGCCCCCAACACAAGAGGGACATGGACCTGCTCAGGCAAGTCCAAATGAGGGCCATAAAGATGATCTGAGGGCTGGAGCACCTCTCCTATGGAGACAGGCTGAGAGAGTTGGGCTTGTTGAGGCTGGAGAAGAGAAGGTTCTAGGGAGACCTTATAGCAGCCTTCCTCTACCTAAAAGGGGCCTACAAGAAATCCTGAGAGGGACTTTTTACAAGGGCATGTAGTGATAGGACAAGGGGGAATGGCTTTAAGCTGACAGAGGATAGATTTAGACTGAATATTCAGAAGAAATTCTTCACTATGAGGGTGGTGAGGCACTGGAATGGGTTGCCCAGAGAAGCTGTGGCTGCCCCATCACTGGCAGTGTTCAAGGCCAGGCTGGACGG